TTATTATTTCTTACAATTTATTATAATTCCTGCCTTTGAAGAGCTCAAACTGTCAATATCTAAGGCAGTCCCTATCAGTCCTAGGATCTTGTTTATTCATTCTATTAAGCATCAGGAGCACCATGGACAGGAAGACATATGCAAGTGCAAGTAAAAAATAATTATGGATTAAAGTGCTCTCAAGAAAAGTGAAAGGTTCAAAGAAACAGATTAGCCTGATAGATGCTAATACAGAGCAAATAACGAGAAGAGGCGTCTAGAAAAGATATTTCAGCTCAATAAGGAAATGGACAAGAGTTGGGGCAAGTGTATTCCAGGCGGGAGGAACCCAAAGGAAAGCGTCCGGAGATGACATACGTTGCTCTAAGATGCTCTGAAAGTCAACAGGTTGGATGCCTGATGGAGGGCGAGTCCCACAGGATGGGGCTGGCGAGGCATAGCAGCCCTGTCTCACAGAAGGACCTTCTGGTTTTATTAGCACAACCAAGCTCTATGCATCTTCCTGGCCGACTTCCTTTCATGCGTTACTTTTCATGTACACTGGGGTCAGTTTCATCAAGACCACCCCCACCTTACATTCTGGATCCCAAAGTTTTATTTTGTTTTACTTTTATCTTACTCTAATCACATACTTTTCATTCCTCCTACCCCACCCCACCCCCTCGAAAATATCCCCCAGAAAAGGATGGAGACCTGAAGACTCAAGTTGAAAAGCTCTGGAGAGAAGTCAATGCCCTGAAGGAAATGCAAGCCTTACAGACAGGTAAGACCCGACCCATCCCCATCGATGCTTTGTCTCAAAAGAGACAGGAAAAGAAATTGTGATTTGCCAGCAATTCAAGCCACACCTAGAGTACACGTCAAGTCCTAGGTGACACCTTTTTATTTGTATGTAATGTTTACTTACTTTGAGAGAGAGAGAGAGGGAGACAGAGAGAGTGAGACAGAATATGAGCAGGGGAGGGGCAGAAGGAGAAAGAGAGAGAGAATCCCAAGCAGGCTCAGTGCTGTCAGTGCAGAGCCCGACATTGGGCTGGATCTCACAAACTGTGAGCTGAAATCAAGAGTCAGACGCTTCACCTACTGAGCCACCCAGGCACCCCTAGGTGACATCGTTTTGAAAGAGACATTGACAAGCCAGAGGTGTGTCCAGGAGAGAGGATTCAAACGCAGGTGAGACAACTGTTTTTGGGAAATCAGCTTGGTTTTCCACTCCCTTCTCCTATATATGGCTGGTATAGAAATAAAAACAGGCGTGTCAATAATGGATTTTAAAAGTGTGTTCATAATTCTTCTCTGATAGGCAATGAAACAGAATTGAAGCAAGTATTAATGGGCGAAAATAATTAGCATTCATCAGATGGTTATTACGTGCCCATTGGGAGATCTGCTGAGGTTCAACTAAACACAGCATCACAGGACTCACTCGGTCCACACTGTGCATCAGATGCAAATGGAAGGACATTGGTTAGAACCACAGCTCTGCCAAAAGAGGGCAGCATTTAACACTCTTCTTTGCAAGGGGCTAGGGCTCCCAAGCAGTGGATGCAGCTGTCCAAGCTGTTGTCCCAGAGCTACCCTTCTTGGCTCCCAGGCGTAAGGAAAAGGGAGCCACACTGCGTGGGTTCAAGAATAGCCCTTGCTTGGGGAGCCCAGGTGGCGCAGGCGGTTAAGCGTCCGACTTCAGCCAGGTCACGATCTCGCGGTCCAGGAGTTCGAGCCCTGCGTCAGGCTCTGGGCTGATGGCTCAGAGCCTGGAGCCTGCTTCCGATTCTGTGTCTCCCTCTCTCTCTGCCCCTCCCCCGTTCATGCTCTGTCTCTCTCTGTCCCAAAAATACATAAACGTTGAAAAAAAAAAAAAA